AAACATAAAATTGCAAATTAAGTTGCACATTAAAACCGGACACGGATAACACAAAGCAGATTCGTATATATTTTTATGCGACGTTGTAAAGCTTTTTCATCACCAGAATAACAATGATAAATAGTTAATTAAGACAATCTCATATTTTTTCATGGAATAAAACAGATTTTATGTAAATGTTACCATTCTCGGTATACATGAAGTATAATTATAATGAAATGTAAATCTCCTGCTGAAATAACAAGCTCGTCGTGTAATTTCGTAATTCGAAATGGCCAGAGTATTGATGTAATTATTATAATTTGGCGATGAAATCATGCCACGTTGAATAGTCTTCATTGACAAGCAGCAGCTGTGTCTATTGATTATTTGAGGGCATTGCACGCTAAAATGTAATTGTATGAGTTCCATATAGAGAGGCAAGGAAGGGGGGAATGCAAAATTCGTGAAAATAACGATTTGAATCATCGAGAAACGATTTTACATTATTTTCCGCTATGTTTTTGGAAAATACAGACATTTAAAATGAAATTATTCGAATGGAAAGCTTTATCGATAAATTCGAATGTTCTGGAAAATACGAGAAAAGTTAGATACATTTCCGAACGATTACATAGAAAAGTAATCATAGTAAAATAGTTTACTTGAAGTTTTCTATATATTTTGCTATATCCATAAATCATTAATGGCCAATTTTTATTTTAATTCGTATAAAAATGTGAATAAGATATTATGGATTGGAATTATTATTTGAAAACACGAAAAATAAATGTAATAGAAACTAACATATATGTCAGAAATATTTCCCCTACATTAAATTAGTACCAGAGTAAATATAATCTTTTTTATATAAAGATTTTATTTTTAACGAGATATGAAAAAATTTTTGTACGTTCACCGAACTTCGAAAAATGAATTAAAAATTTCAAGATTAATAGTGAAAACGTAACAATAATTTATGTTATAAAAATATATTTTGAAGGAAATATAATAATTTTGACGTATGAGAGAGATGTATTTTTCTGCATTTAAATTAAACAAGTTTGAAACTTAATTGTCAGATTGCGTATATAATATTATAGATGCTTTCGTGGGAGGAAAAAATCATTGAATCTTGACGAGTTAATTCCATTTCGCTGAAGAGATAGCTCGGCTAAAAGCGGCAGATTGGACAGATTCCGACTCTCGAGGTGTCGTCGGTCGGGACGGCTCTCGCCGGCGCGGCGCGGCGCGGCGCGGCGACACGCCGGCGTACGAGAGCGCGCGTTATACCGCAGAGGGTTTGTTCCCGGAAGGGAACCGGTGGCACGTCGTTACCGGGGCAAACTACGCCGTCGACAAGCGCCGGTCGGTAAGTGCAGGAGGTCCGGTGCACGTCGGCCGCGTGCTCCCGGTCGGCCGTCCACCCCCGATCGCCGCCGCCGCCGCCGCCACCGGATGCTGCGATTCGGGGCACCACCACCGGCGGTCTCCCGCCATGCTCGCGGCACGCAGGCGCGCTTCCGCCCTTTCGCTCGCGGGGGTGTCAATCTCCCCCGCAAGCCCGGCCTTCGCGCCTCGACGCCGAACCAACCCCCGCGCGACCTCGGCGCCCTTCGGGGGCGGAAACCTCGCCCCCGCTGGCCCTCGATCGCGTCCTAACTACCCCCTTCCCCGGCAACGTCGTCGTCCGTTTCGCGCGAGCCGGCAGTATCGCTCGGAACGGGTCGGCAAGATGATCGGCGCCCTTAACGGCGCGCAATCCACGTATAATACGCTCGTGCAGACGACGATCATCGGCGAGACGAGGGTAGTAATACGCGGCGCCGTATCTCTCGACGCCATTCGAGAGTGAGACGCTCGTTGCTGAGATATGATCACGTTTCTGGCCACGTCGTCGTCGCGCCTCGTGCCGCAGCAGCTAATCCGGAAGTCGACGACGGTGCCGCGATAAGAGCGGCAGCTGGACCGCGTGAAACACCGTCGCACCGGGTAACAACTAGAGCGGGGGGAGGGGGGCATCGTGTTCGCGGGCACCGCGCGATGCTGGACCTCAAGAGCAGCGGTACCACCGCGGCGGAGCTACCACGAACCACGGCGTTCACCAATCTATCGATGCTGTTCGCCGGTACGTCCGACTGTTCCCGTTCTTGTTCTGTGCCCGTTTGCGCGTTTGTGTCGCGCGAAATTTTTCAATGGCGTATGTGTTTAGGAGTGTGCCGATCAATTCGCGTTCCCACGCCCTCGATAGCTACCACGCTTGGTAGCACGCGGGTCCACCTGGTATCGCTTGCGAATTTCACGCTCGGAACGTGCCGATCGCGAGCTACGTGTTTAATCCGACATCGGTATCGCGTGTGCTTCTGAAAATCTTTTCGTGCAATCGAATGAAATGGAGAAGGACAAAGAGCTTATATTTTATATTGTTGTACAAATCTAATTTCCTTTTATGTGTAAAATATCGCAAACGTTAAGGAACCCATGTTTAATTATGCAAACATATTTTCAGAAGCAGGTGCAAAGATTTAATCTAGTTAGACACAGGAAAGACCTGGTGAAAATTTTATGCATTGATCGATGATAAACGCACGTGTTTTTCTGTGCGTTTGTCCGCGATAAATATATGTATTTTAATCCTTTATATAGAATAAATTGATTTATTTTATTTAAATTATAGAATAAATTGATTTTGAAACATTTTAAGCAAAATTGTTTGCTATTTTGTCAAAAAATAATTTAGAAATTCACTATGTTACTATAACTTTGAAAATTTTTTACTTTATATTATCTAAAAAAATATTATTGAATTTTCAATATTATTGCCTATTTAAAGAATTAAATATTTTTACTAATATTTAAATCTTTCAGACACAATCTCTTTACAATAATCCGAAGAATTAAGCCATTAGATGTAACTAAAGTTCTATGCTTATAGCTGCTGACATTTTAATGTTGTAAAGTGATTAGTGATTACGTGATTCATATGAATTATAGAGAAAAATAATTATTGAGTTGTGTTCTAAACAGCCATCAAAAATTGTACTTTTACAATAAAATTCATAAGATCGGTATATTCTCATGTATATTTCTATTATGCAATTTTCGTATTGATAATTTGAAAATAAGTTTTTCCTCTCTGTCTTCCAAATTTCTTTCACTTTTAAACCATAAATCGTGATAGTATGAAAAGATGAATCCGTAAGGAAAAATATTCATATCTTGCGTATCATTTTTTCTATTATTTATTAACACTATCAATTGGCCTACAGAAAGTATCTCAATATATTATATAAGCGACATTAAAATCCGCCAAATCGTTTATTATGAATAGTATTGATCCTGCTCAGTAATTTGTTAATTTTTTCATACTTGTCAGGATTTTCCGATATAGCCTGTATCTTTAACATCGCGTTTCATGAAAATCTCAAGGAAAACTGGCACGTATTACCGAATGATCGGCACACCCCTCGGCACTCGAGAAACGTGAAATCCGAGGCTCCATTAATGGACTCCGGGGTCTCCAGATCAAATGAAGGGGGCAGTAAAGACGAAAGATCGAGCCTTGGCGAGCGGGCGCGGAGGTCGTTTTGTTTGCTCCGGAAAGTCGGAGTTTCTGCCGCGCGGTGTGACGTACCTACGTATGTACACACGAGGGTCGACCCTCGTGCCAATAACTGCCAAATGAAAATATATCTGTTCGCAAACACGCCACTGACGCTGGCGTGTACGGGAACTCTCGGGAGAACTTTCGCGTGTATCGCTCACGGCGAATGTACAACATCGCCGTCGCTGCCGCGCGAGCGACACATCTTCCATGCACACGTGTTACAAATAATTCCGTATTTGTCCAACTGACGTCGGTCTTCCTCGGATATTATTCGATTGACCGAATCGGTCGATTGCCAATCGTCGATCGAGTGTATTTAGAAAAGGGAGATAGATTAGAGATCTTTTCCAGAAATTAAAAAAATAGATATTTCGATTAAAAAAAAGAAAGAAATACATAATAATATAAATCACATTCGTACTATTTAATATAAAAAGAATCGTTTTTATAACGGTAGATGTGCATGAGTTATTTAATCAAATAATGTATTCACACATGTTTCTATTAAATTATTTGCATATATATAAATTCTACAGAAATTATTCTAAAATTAATTCAAATTTAAAATCTAAAAAAAATAGTATTATATTTAATTATGTCAATAAATATACAGGATATACATATTATTTTAGGCATCTATCTTACAGGCCCCGTTTCTCAAATATAATTTTTTAGAGGGATTGATGTATAGTTTAATTAATTAATTAATATTATTTCATATCTACTTTTTACAGTTTATAACTGAACAAAATAAATTCAACCATAATAATATGGATGTCTAGTATTTAACAAGAGAAAATAAAAATCTACTTGATATGCATTTTATTTGTCTCCTTTTGCTTTTCTGACACATATAATTTATTAGAAAATATTGGAACGCGCGATTAAGATTTTACACAATAATCGAAAACTTTGCAGTTTCAAACGCAAAAGGCGTGGATAAGTTTATCGCTGCAGATTATATACCGGGAATAGATTTCAAGAACGATAAACGTATTCTGGCAATATATATGTAAACTCTTTCGCGTGCGTTTCGCGTTCATGGAAAAACTGGAACCTTTAAAGTGTCATAAAGATTTCAAAGTAGAAGAACCGCGTTTTTCCCTCGCCAGGGCCGCCTCGAAACGCTTTCGCTTGTCTGATCAGATATACTTTATGGCTTCTCGCGATTCCTCGAACCGATTAACTGGTAATTGCGGACAATATACGCCCCCGCTACTGACGTGACCTCAAAAAGTGTAGTCGCAATTGGTCCGGTCAGATTGCAAAGTACCTGCAGGTCGCGTGAATCGATAAACAGTAGATTTTTAACACATATTATGGCAGATCGAGAATTTTCATTGATTGAAAGAAAAAAAGAAAGACAAGGAGAGAGAAAGAAATAGAAATAATAAAAAAATTTTTCTTATTTCAGATGCTGGCAGCTCTTATAAGGGAGGCTGGAGTCACGCCACATCGCCGGCACCTGGTCAAGGTAAGTCTCATTTAGTTTATAGTTAAAAATATTTTATATTATCAAGAAGAGGAAAAGAAAAAAAATAAAGCAATTTTGTATGTCTATGAATTTTGTACATCTATACGAAAATCCTTATATTGTCTTAAAGCAGACAGCATAATTTAGACAGAAATCTGTAGGGAACATGTAAGTCTGCAAAGAATATTTAATAAAAATATGATTCTACAGTATTTGAAATGTATCTCTCTATTTTGAAATACATATTTTTATGTATCTTCATATTCTGACAGTTACAAGAAAATGTTTTGATAAAATATTAAGAAGGATGTGTATTTTCCTTTCATATTTAGTTATAATAGATTTCACAGTTTTGTATTCTTGCAAAGCAATATTTCACTCCTATGTTAAATCACTATCGACTGATAATCAACAGTTGATCTTTTGCGTTTCTTTCAATTAATTACCCATCATCGGGTCAAATACCTAAGATGGTTTTCTAAAATTCCCTCGATCTATTTCGCTTTTCGTATATTATCCTCCTCTCGCAAAAACTCCCGCTCTGACCGAGTGGGGGTTTTCTTTCTCCTTGTTCTCGGTTCGCTAGACGCTACATATACGTAAAGGGTGGGTCGAGGCGCCGCTGGGTGCAAATTCACGCGTCGCGACGCCCTGTTCTTGTTCAGGCAAGCTTTGTGCGTGCAAGCGCGTGGAAGATGTAAGCGTGTAGGTGTTCGTGTAGATATCTGTGCGGGTATAGGTGGCGTCCCGGTGCTTTGTGGCGCGTTGAACCGCGGCCCCTTTGTCGTCGGCGGAGAACGAATGAACGAGAGAGAGAGAGAGAGAGAGAGAGAGAGAGAGAGAGAGAGAGAGAGAGAGGGTGAAAAGGGGTGAGGGAGGGTGGCGGAGAGCAAGCCCCGGGGGCTGTGTAGAGACGCCTGCCCACACGGTGGTAACGCCGAAGAGCAGACCCCACCCTGTGTGGACGCCAACACCGAGCTAGCACAATCATCTCGCGGAGATCACAGAGACCTGCCTGCGGGCATCTTTGTTATAAACGGCTTCTGGCCGCGTCAACCAGGTTACAACAACCGTGGCGTTGTTCGAGACTACCTCCGCGACGCGAGAGGACATAAGTTCCGCCTTCGAACGCGTGTGAATGCGTGTGAGCATGAGTGTCCACCTTGCCCGTATTCGAGATTGTATTCAGGATCCGCGCAACCTGCCGTGTCACATCTCTTAGCACTAGGCTTTAAACGTAATTTAACGCAACATATATGTATGTACATGACGTTACATGTGATGAACAGATTGCAAACAGATCTAACTTACAATGATGAGTTTTTATCTCTGAAATGATATATTTAAATTAAATGTATTGTATATATCATTAGATCTCATAATTATCTTGTAGAGATCGATGGAGGCTATTCTACACGGAAAAATTATATATATAATAGACCTGTGCACTTTATTATTCCTTTATTTTTAATTAAATTTGCTACAATTTCGAAAGACACGTAAGTCTTTTACTGTTATAACGGTGAGAAAATTTGATTTTTACCTTGAAGCATATTTGATCTCAAAGTTTGAGGAAATTATTTGAAAATATTTAGGATTGTTAACAGATTTCTTTATAATATAGTTAATAGAATTCTGTAAATTAGATTCTTTTTTGGAGAGAAGAGAAATCTTTGTGAAATATCTTTAATTTTTCCTTGCTCCGTATCCTCTGAAAGTTTAATTTTCAGGTATTTCTCGCGTCGACGTACGCACAAATCGTTTTAGCACGACGTAGGTGAGCTCCGGGGCTTTTTCGAATAGCGTACTCCAACATCGTCCTCTGATCTTGACAGGCGCGGGGGTCGCCTTTGACTCGGTTTGCGCTTTGCGCCGCGACGCAAAAGGGAGCGACATCGTCGTCACCGAGATTCATGAAATTACTTGACGTGACGCGCGTTGACCCGAGGGCACTTTGCGGTTCTCCAGACCGCATGAAATTGAAATTACAAGCTTGTCTCTTCCTATAGAAACTAGACGGCTCAGGGCACTCGAAGTTGTACCGTGTATATTTTCGATTCGATAAACATTAGATACGTTCAACTAACACATGGACTCAGATCATTGCTCCATAACAGTCTCAGTCTATGTTTTAATACTTAACAGATTATGTCCAAAGAATAACTGAGAGTGTTCGCGACATTTAAATGTTTATCCATGATATATAAATCATATCACATATAAAAATGTATTTAATTCATAAATTTCGTCGATATTCACAAAGATATACAATTAATTTCGAAATAAAAATTTCATTCAAATATTTGTCATTTAAATAATATAATTCTTTACACACAGAGCTAATTACAATAGCTTTAAATTATTTTAATTTTGAGAAATATACTTTATGTAATATGTGTGTATGTGTGTGTATGTATTGCATGAACTCTTTCATCCTTGATGCTATTTAAAAAAAAAATAGAAACCTTATAATTAGAAGTTTTATATGAAAACCTCTATTAATAAGAGAAAGATTATATAAAAAGATTGAAGAAATGCAAATTGCCCTCTAAACCATGCGTTCTAATATAAATTATATTCTCGTTTATGCTCGCTATGTTCTAACATCCGTAATGTCATGCAAGGACAATGATGAACTGACACCCGTGAATTAACACATTAGAGATATATCTGCGGAACCGGGTAATTTGAGTATGCCCATTAATGTTGCTCGCGTGCTCGATGGCCCAAAGTTGTTTCATGTTTCAAAGCAGGTCATGCTCATATAACCTTTTCGTACCAAAATGCACACCAAAACGTTGTACTGTGCCATGCGATTCAATCAAAAGTATAGTTAAAAAAAGCCTTCTCGCGTGAACTGCCCGCTACTTAATTAGCCTTTGATAACGCCATCAGAAACGTTATCAACTTCAAAATTTTATAGCAGATTTCTTGATAATAACAAATTTAAATGAATTATTATATATTTCATTTATGCTCATGGCTGTGCAAAGTCTCGAATATTCGCGTCGGGTCAATTTGATTTTAATAATTTGTTTTCTAGTCGCATATTTCATAGAGCAAAATAATAGATTAGTCCCGCATGTAGTTAGATATTTGCATAATCAAAAAAAAATTCTTAAATTTTAAAATTTTAATATAAAGTCTTAAATTTGATTCTCCTCATCTGAAAGAAATATAACCAATAATAGGTGCAGAACGTTTTCTCACTTGAGTGTTTAAAGCCCTTAAATAGAGAGGATTACATGAGAGAGAGAAGAGCATAATATCTTTTTAATAATAAATAATGTAAAGAAAAATTATTTCGATTAAATTAATTCGATAAAAGCACTTACAAATTTAATTAAACGAATGCACCTCTTATGCTTCCCTTATGTGACAACTTATATAACACATGCAAGTCGATTCGAGAATTTTCGAGATCTCGAGTCGTGGCGCGCTCGCGCATCAAGAGATGTCACGTTGTGTTATCGACCACCAAGCAGAGTGGTTTCAGCGGATCTGCCCACTGGCCAGGAAAAGCGACTTTAAGACGACTCGTAGAACAATAGAAGCACTCTCTCTTTCTCCTCCCACCTTCTCCGTTGTTGCCCTTCCGTTCCCCAGTGTACCTCGCGTGACTTCCTGACCTGAGTCGACCGACCCTCGACCCCCTGTTACGTGTATGTGTCTGAAGGCAACCCTATGATAATTACGTACTCCCGAGCGGCGCGTGCCTCGGCAATTCGCTCACGCGCCCGATCGCGTATGGCGTGACTATCCTCGACACCATAGGTAACTATCTCCCCCTCGTCGCATTCTGAATTTGCCTTCCTTAAAATATGTACGGAGTGATTGACGCTAGGTAAAATCAGGAGATATCACAATAATGTAAAGTTTAAAAGATCTCTAAGGACGATTTAATCTTTCCGGCATTCTTTAGTGTTTCTTGTAGATATCCAATCAGTGTTACGCTTGAAAGACTTTTCGATAAAAACTTATTCAAGACGTCGCAATACATGATGAAAATTAAAATATTGTATGGCTTCAAAAATATATATATATATATATATATATATATATATATATATATATAGAAATCAAGTATTGCTAACATCTGCAATCACAAATATAATGATTTCACTTTGCATAAATCATTAGTTGGTTCTATAAATTTTAATTTGGAAATCTTGATGATCTATTAAATAAATTATATTTTTTGCAATTTTAATAGAAGTTTGCGAAATTATACTTACACAAACTTAAATTTTTATATTTCGATCATGAATTTTTATTCTGAAATATGTTTTAATTTTCTGAAGTTAATAGATCATTCTTGGGTACCATTAATCGCGAGAATAATTGAATATTCCTTTTCTTATTGTAATTATAGTTACAATTTAGGAAATAAAATTAACTAAATACATATTGCATTAATCGTCGTATCGATAAAATCCACTTTGGGGAGACTCTCGTCTGAGAATAAGCTTTGAATTCGTGAGAATTTCCGAACCATGGATTCTAACGTATCCAAAAAGGGGACGACCGGAACCCCGGTCAGGAAGAGCAGACTACCGGATCTTGCTGGCACGGGTTCCGCTCGTCCATGGACCCCGCGGGGTCGCGAAAGCGAAGTCCCGGGGGACATGGATCGTGGGCAACAAGTCACTGGGAAACGGCGCGTGACCAGTGCATTCGCGCCGCCAGATTTACGACAAGAAAAATGAGAAAGGGTAAGCAGGACTCTTTTCGTCGCTCTTTCTTTCTTTCTTTCCATCTCTCTCGGAAGAAAACAGGGGTGTCGATCGAATGATGTGATTCACATTTTAACGCTACTTGAAGAAAATATTCATTGAGAATTATATTTTTTAATGGTAACATTATTATTTTTCAATCTCTGACAAATAATACATAAAATTATGACAGTATATAAGATTATAATAAAAAAAACTAATAGAACAATTTATAGGATTCCAAAATAAATTTACAGGCCGATAAAAATTTTGACGAATTTTAACGAA